ATATATATATATATATATATTTATATATATATTATATATATATAAATATTCCTATTAAGTCTCTCAATTTTTTATAACAGAGGCATAAAGTAGCATATAATAAATTTCAATCCACTGTACATATTTTCATGGACCAAAGAAAGATTATTTCATTTCTTACACACAGCGTTAAATACTCATTATGTGACAAAGAGCAAAACAGCCCAGCCTGTCCGTCATCAACAGATCCCCAAGCACGCAACTGGGAAATGCCCTGGATCACTTCCTTCATTAGCTTGATATACAAGAGAAATTGTAAATTAGTCTCCATTTAATGGTCAGCTTAGATAATGTTGCAAATCTGAGCAAAAACACCAAAAGATTGTAGCTATTCAGACTATATTCCTATTGGCATTTCACCCAGAATAAAAGCGAGGAGGATTTAGGAAATATATTGGTAAAATGTATATAGCCAGAAATATCACATATAAGCTGTCATTGCATTATAAACCCTTCCTGACATTCAATCTTGATTGAACAATGGGTGCTAGCATCATACTTTCATCCACTGGGCTATCAGCATTGACCCCCTTCTTCTTCCATCCTAATGCATTAGGCAAGCAAAAATAATGGTACAATATCTCTGATGGATAGTTCCCCAAGTCTCCATCCTGGAGCATAGGATTGCTTCTCCATACAGGTCTCTGTTTAGATTTTGGGGAAACCTGGAGTCTCTTTTCTTAATGCTTTCCACACTGCTTCTTTCACTTCATGGTTCCTAATCGTGTAAATGAAAGGATTTAACACTGGAACAACTATAGCACTCACCAAAGAAACAGACTTCATCTTACTGAAGGAAGAGCTCTTGACAGTAGGTCTTAAATAGACAAAAAAGACTGAGCTGTACAAAATGGTGACAACAATCAGATGGGAAGCACAGGTAGAAAAGGCCCTCTGCTGTCTGGAGCTTGAAGGTATTCGGAGAATGGTGGAAATGATGAAGAGGTAAGAGATGAGGGTGAAAAGAAGGGAGGACATAATCACAAAGACAGTAATTAGGAAGACAAGGGCTTCAATCACTTGTATATATCCTCCTGCAACCTTCAGCAGAGGTCCTGCATCACAAAAGAAATGATTGATAATGTTGGAGGGGCAAAAGGGTAGATTTGGCAATTTCATTGTACTATAAAGAAGGCAGAAAAAACCCCCAAACCAGGATGCTATTGCTAGTTTAAGGCAGACCCCAGGAGTCATGATAGTGGCATATCTCAAAGGATGGCAGATGGCTATGTATCTGTCCAGGGATATCAAAGTGATGATAAAAAATTCTGTAATTCCAAAAAGGAAATAAAAAAAAGACTGTGATAAACAGCAGGCAAAACAAATGGAATCCTTTGCAGAAACATAATTGACCAGCAATTTAGGAACAAAGACGGTGGTGTGTCCAATGTCAATGAGCGAAAGGTTGCTAAGGAAGAAAT